AGTAGCCATGTCTAATCCAGTGATACAGACACTCACAATATTACAACAGATCAAAGCCAAACTGGGGAAGAGTCTGTGGCAGAGGTTGACACCATTTGTCAAATCCAACTTGTCCGCAGTTCATTTCAGATAAGTGTTTATGTAAAATAGCTAGAATTGGTTGGAAAACAATTCGTCCCCGTGGACTTTCATAAGTATTGGACTAACCATGCTCACGGACTAGTCACCATGTCAATCCTTGCTCAATGATTCCTGTGTGGTAGTTAAACAGACCCAAGCCATGTGTCTTTGCATTCTACTTTCTATTGTGAAAACCATTTGTCGATGACTTGCATTTCAAAAACAGAACCAAGTAGGTGTTAGTTAGTTTGGTTTTTTTTAAAGCCACACTCAGCAATATTCCAGCTGAATATGACAGGTGTCTGTTAATAATCGGGTTTGGGGCAGACGACCCAGTGATCGACATGATCATCGTTCTAAGCAATTGGGTTACAATGAAGAGGACATAATAATTAATTCCTTATTACTGCCATGAATGCAATGTTAAGATTCCTCTGGATCTACAAAAATAGAACCTATTAAAAAAATGCAGCCATCTGAGTAACCAGATACAAATAGTTCAGGGTTTACATATGCAATGTTTGTTCGAGAAAATGACCATGCAAATGGTAGTTTCAGGCAAATCCCCAGCAAATGAAAGCTGTTTATTCAACATTTCTATATTTTGGATCCTTGTGAATGTGGTATGAAGCAAATGAACAATATGTTACCAGGATCAATGAATGATGGGTGTGTGTCTGTAGGGCTGTATATAGGCATTGGCAACATCTGTCAAATGCCAATAGTAAAATATATGTACTAAGCAACACCATATGTAATATGCATATGGTGACATAATAAAAATAGTTTATAAAATGCACATGGTAACACAATTAAACTAGCGTTAGTCTACAGAGCTACACACTGACCTATGTACCTGAGGGTCAATTAGCTTGATACTGGTGAAAACAAAGGGCCTTGTTTCAGATTAATATGTGCAGGAGACCCTTACCATTGCTTACTGGTCACAGATCAAAGGACATGGGTCTCTTCCATGGGTCAGTGACTCAGCTCCCCAGCTCCCCAGCTCCCCCCACCCCCAGGGCAATCTGAACCCTCACAAGTCACTTGCTTTATACATTACCTTGATACCTGTACCTGAACCTGTAGAAACATTGCATTAGACATACACAGAAGTTGAAATCTGTAGGTCAACTTGTCTTCATTTTGATACATATTTCTACATTAACATTAGACCTGCTTGTCTAAGACTAGTAAAAGTCTGGAAGGACTAGTGACATGTCTGTGTGGATTACAGTCTGTGACACTAGCCACTTATCTGAGGCCCAAGACTAGTAAAATTGTGGAAAGACAATAGTGACATTTCCTTCCACTTTTACCACCTTACAGATGACAACTCAGTAGCAGATCCTCTCTACAGATGAGTGAAAACAAACATTCATTTCTAACCTTGTGACACTACAGTAGCTATAATGCCAATCATAATCAGAAGCATTGTATCTATCACTACAAACACAAGAAGGGATGTTCTATTTATTAACATGATTAAAGTAATTGGGCAACAATTGAAGTTTCAAAATATATCATAATGTCTCAACGGTCTTCATTTTCATTTTCAATCAGTCTGGGCCTTGATTCAAGGAAACTGATTCAACTTAGTTGCACGAGGCAAAACCAGGACCCATAAATTCTATCACAGTTTGAACATATACACATAAACTAGTCTAAAACATATAATCTTACACCTCTGAAAACTGTTATCATTTTACATAAATATATTATGTATTCCGAAAAAAGTAATTATCTTGAGGTATCCACAGTTTGATAATGTCCAGCCCAAGAAAGCATGACAAATTACACACAGCACAAGGATTAGTGATGTTGTACGGTACATAAAGCTTAGAGGTACTGAGTGTGTTCAAAGATGGTTATCCTTTGATCAAGTAAGGGTTAGTCAAACAAAAATTAGGATTTTTTAACATGAAATTGGTGCATAAATTCAAGGCTACTCTTTTCAATAATAGGTTGCACTGGTGCATATTTCATATACAGCTAAATCGAGTCTGGTCTGTAAATGATGAGTCTTCTTAAATAGAAATATTTACATGTCTTCTCTCATCATGTCTATCGTACCAAATTTAAACTGCTTATATTATTAACATGCTATGCAATAGACATAATATTCACTCCAATAGTATCCTGTGTGAACTGTTGTCTCAAATAACCATGGTCCCACTAACAGTTAACCCACAACACAACGTCCACAAATGCTATGATTATACACAGTAAATACGAGGTTATCAGAATGACATGTCAGCACAGGTTTGTCTCTTGGTGAGTATAATACATGGTATAACTGCAATGTTTACACATAATACATTCAGCATGTTGAAGATAATCTATTTGTTACCAGCATGACAAGTGCATTGTATATCATTACTATAAATTGAGACTCATCACAGACCAAACACACCTTATGTAGTTCACATTTGACCTACTTTTAAGGAATGATGTGTAGATGAGATTAAAATCATGAGGGAGTGCTTCACTACGAAACCTTATTTTGACAAAAATCGGTGAGAATACATGAATGAAAACCAGGTAGATGAGTGAAAGTTAGTGTGTGACAAAAGGATGAAGAAGGGTTAAAGATAACTGATAATACAACAGAAATGGATAATTAAGTTGAAAAATTTGATGTCTATATTCACTCTACCCTCATCATGCTCATGTTTATGATATTGGGTATACAAAACAAACTCTCATAATGCATGTTTTCAGGACTATACCAGCTAGAACCAAGTCACAGGCTGGGCTACTTGAACATTGCTGTTACCAGTTACATGCAAAAATACTTGAAGGAGTGTTGAGTCATTTGGCCGACCAATATCAAGAGTTTTAAAAAATGAAGGGGGCCCTGATGGTTGTGAGGTTTGCTCCTATATCATTTCAGCTAACACTCAACAAGGACCTCTTGACTACCCTGATACATTCTGAACACTGATTGATCATTAAAAATGAAGTGTATGTATGATGCCTGTGACAGATGTGGTCCCATGATATCATGTAATTTAGTGTGTGAGTGACCATGTTTCACAGCCATGTGAACAGTTACCTGCATATTGAGCAACACACCCAGACATTGAGGTAAATCATGACAAACAGTTAGACATGTGACAAGTTGGAAGTTGGAAGTTGCAACTACTCAATCCCCTCAGTCAGCACATGTGACAAGCATGGAAAGTGGGAGATCTAGTCTTCCCTGAAATCACCAGGGGATTAATGTACTGATTTGCAACTTGCAGACAGGTTGCTTTCCCATACATTAAACATGTTAAGTCAACTTCAGGTGGACTATCAGTATGTATATCATATGGAATCACATCGTTTTGATCAACATAAATACAAAAATCTGTCATTTTCACATGTACTACTCAAACAAAGAGAAGGATCACCACATTCTTTCATATTACTAAAGTTAATTTGTCATGGCACTACAGATTAAGTTAAGCAATATGAAAGAATACAGTGGTCCATGTTTTAGAAGCATATATTATTCTACAAAATTATACTTGTTATCACAAAATCACCAGATGTCTTAAACTTCAATGGGGTGTTTGAATTTCCATATATCCATTATTTACCAATTAAATATGTTTGGACTGTGTGTACTGTACTTCTCATGATAATGAAAGATAAATAAAATGAAGGGTCATCCAATGGACAAATAAATATCAGACAGGAAGTATTATTATACGTCACTTTCAATGTGGTAGTTTCACTGCCGAAAGCAGATACAAGCTGTCAGTATGTTTGGGGCTAAAGTACCTTATTTGGGGCTAAAGTACCTTATTTGGGGCTAAAGTACTTTATTTGGTAAGAATCCAAACATTCAAATGAAGACAAAATTTAGAAATGCCCAATATTCCAAATCTGCTAGAAACACAGGGATTGCAGAGATACATCTGTGGTTACATATACTACACAGTGAAAATGTACAAAATACAAGGTTTATGGGATCAACAATCAATATACATAATATAACTGACTGCAAAAAATAAACAATTCCCAATCAGAAATTTTAAGAGGTGTGTGGGTCTCTCTGGAAATATGTTGAATAAAAGACCTCCCTGTTCTTTATTGTCTGCCATTAACATTCACATTGACAGTGACCTGGTGTCTTTCAAAACTTTTCCAAACAATTACACATTCTGCGGCCAATCAATTCATGCTAAATTACAAAGTCTACATTCTCAAGAGGGAAAACCCTTTTCCATATTACATGTTGAAGACCTTCCATCAAAACACAAATAATAGTCAAAAACAGACTAGGGGTACCTTGTTCATATACACAAGCACACTACCAACATTTGTTCAAGAATTTACATCATAATTACAAACGCACGTCAGCATTTATAAAAGGACACCCCTTGTTATGCTCAAGTCACATTACCAAATAATAGTGGACGAGTTCCCAGTGTGACATATATTGTCTCTTTGTGACACAGCCTAAAACTTAAAGTATTTTATAACTGACTGAAGGTGGAACACGTTCAAAGCTTAATTAAGACTTCGCAGGGTAAGATATGTCCTGGTTTAATATCTAGCCAATAGTTTATTTCATGTCTTTCAATCGTTCAATAAGAACATACCTGACTGCTTGCGGAAGTCGTCTTGTCGCGGTTATTACTTACTGAAACCCGGACTTGAGACAGTGTTGACATTTATTTCGGCTGTTAGAACTAAAACAACATACTTTCCTTCCCTTGTAACACGCTTGACAGTGGGCATAAGTCATACCAGTATGTCAAAGTTAGAACTATATCTCCAACAACGAGTCGAGAATGGCAGCCATGTTTCATTCGACCGACTCAAATGTGTTGCTTTTCGACCTGCCAACGGAGAGAGTAATAGAACACATAATGCTTGTTAGATTTTACCTGTAAGTCGTAATTTCATGGGTCCATTCCTCCTTGGCCCTTCACTAGCCATCATTCAAACGAAATTTGTATTTTAACATCCTCTTTGTGTAGTAGACATAAGCCAACTTACTCCAGTGTTGACTTCATGTGCACCAAGCTGTTCACATGCAAATGAGCAGTGAGTCGGTTCGTCACTTCCGGTGAGTATGAGGGGGTGCTCGTGACGTCACAGTATTTCATAAAGAAGTTATTCCACACTCAGAATATATCGGAATTAATATAAGATGAATAAAAATTTGGAACAACGATGTTATAAGTAATTCTGAAAGTTTCTCCATGAGAATTTTTTTGTCATGAATGTAATCATTAAGATTTTATAAGCGTCATAGGCTTTTACAGAGCACAGTGACGTCAGCCTCTTTTGTTAATGTCATCCCAGTGGTGTAAAAAGGATTACAGTCTGTCACTCAATAACTAGGGCATGACCAGTGAACAGGTTATTGAGACTTCACTACTTTCTTTCTTTCTCATTTGTTTGTTTATCGCTTTATTGGTTCATTACATAAATAAATTCATTTAATATAGTATTTGACATTGTGCAGACACTTTCACAAACAACTACATACAGAGAAAGTTCCTGTCACACGAACACTAGCGTTACCCGGATTAATTACATCTTCATAAAGGCACACCTAAGATTATGGCGATAATAGTGTTTTGATGACAACAGTAATTATCCTACACCTCGGCTGGCACTTCCCACGCACTGAGAAAGTCACAAGTGTCCTACACTGGGCCGAAGGATGATTCACAGTCGCCTACCTAACTAATAAAAGACATGTCGCTTTCTAAGATGTTATCTCCATCGGAGTATGCATGCTTGAATCACTTGAGGCCAACTTTACACTAGAGAGTCAGTGTTGCTGGGGAGGTCCAGTTGAACAACACACATTTAGTCACAATGAAGCGGATTTCTTTTCAACATTTGTTTTCTTTAGGTACTGAAACTTTATATTTGTGGACAAAAGGTCTTTTCCTGACATGTTCTGTAAATTGAATATACCATTACCAGAACACCGGATGGCGATGAGTATGCGGGTTGTTTGCTGTGTACAATGATTGTTGTGATTTGAGATTTTATATACCATGTAATATACTGTTTGTATTTGGTATAATGAATTAAATGTTATTAATTATCACCTGTAACACAGCTTATAACGTATATTATGTACTTATGAGGTAACTCATATTTTCTCAGCATATAACTCAGTTTCTTTTAAGTACATTTAATTATCATCATGGCATTTAAGGGATAAATATGTCATTTGTATCAATAGTATTAAGTTGTAATTGTACAGCTGTTTCTAACGCCTGTGTACGTTATTGTCAGACATGCTGATTTAAATAACCCACGAGCATACATTATGTTACATCACAACGTTTGCACTGCCTAATTGCCCGTGTATATTGTAGTACTGTCGGGTATACGTGTTTGTCAGTCTGCCACGCATCCCTTTGTCGGCAAGATCAAAGCCGCAACAAGATACTTTATTTCAACCCGAGGCACCCGTGCTGATAACGACATGCAGGGACTCTGTATACGATATTGTATAGATTCCATGGTTTTGCTACGCGTGTGCACATTTCCTGTTGCGGATCAGTTATGTTTCATATGAAAGAAATAGATTCTCAGTGTTTCATTTACCTTGTCTCTGAGCTCTAAGATTTGGAAATCGAAAGAAAGAATTAACATTAACTGAAATTTCAATAATAAATGTATAAAAGCTCCTTGTGTGCATACGCACGTCATGAACTGTTTACTCAAACACGTGTATATTCCGGTACTATGTTAATGTCCTCTGTTTACATTCACGAACAATTTGTAACTAATAACAACAGACACATGCATGTCCCTCGAAAACATTATGGCAATAGTTTATTTTAGTAATAATAAATTAACACGGAAACTATTAGCCAGTAATATATTCGGCAACACACACACATAGTTTTGACAAGTACTGACTAAATACAGTGTAAGGCGAAACACAAATAACTTCAGAGTACCCAAAGAGTGAACGGGTGACCCACTGATCTAACGCGCTGCATCTAACATCCCCTATTAGTTGAGCCAGAGTCCACTGATCGAATCTCAGATTCGCCCTGTTTATGGTTTGTCGGCACCATCGTGGGTTTACACCCCACCACCTCATGACACGTCACGTCACGTCACGCCACGCCACGCCACGCCACGCCAAGCCACACGACCTTTCTGACAACCCCGACCCTTTCTGTAAATCGCAAAGAAGGTCTGTTCTCACCGGAAATAGCCGATGATGTTCAGCCAGACCACACGTCGTCATAACAAGCCACGTTACACCACACTGCGAACTTTCGGCCAACCTCGCTCCTTTCCGTAACCGCAAAGATGGTCAGATAGACCACGCGACGCCACACCGTGCTACACCAAGGCACCACACATGGGCAAAATTGTTTCGGCTTATTTCATATTTTTATGTTATTAGATTCAAAACTGCAAACGTCCAGACATAAAAAACAACGTGTCTCATCTGATGTCACTATACCTTGTATTTATAAATCAAATATTCACTCTGTCTACCGATTGCAAAAACATTTGTTAGAAAGTATTATCTTTCACCAGACAGTTTGTCAAGCAGTGCGCATGTACCTAATGACGGTGATTTTACTTTATTTGGCCGCCGATGATGAATTAATCTAAAGGACTATGAAGACGACAAACAGCCTATGTAAATCATAATGCTGCATATCCATCATAAATTAACCAAATTATATATCTAATGGTCATTGATTATACGCTGCTAGTCGTTGCTATCTCTTTATCCCACGGTCTATTATATTCTCTGTAAAGCGCAACAGAATCCTTGGCGACAGATTCCCTATACAACATTTCCTCATTTGGTGCCGTTCACATCCCTCGATCAATGATGACTCAGATCGTTTCAGCGCCAGTTTCAATTGTTTCTGTCGCGTCCCCATGCGTCGTATCGTTATTCGCACTGTATCAGTTTACAAAACAGGTTTCATTAGCCCTTGCCATACTGGCTGACCCTGTTTTCACGACGCCCAGCTTCTGGCCATAAACATGACCAGGTCGACCGAACGCAACAATTGACTCGCTTGTTACTTTGGACACAAAAAATCGCTATCATCCATTTCCTTATTTGTCCATGGGTCTGGTTCTTAGGCATATGGTATTATGAGTATTACGGCATTGTTTATTGGTAATAATGGTTTCGTTTATTTCAGGCGTTAGTAGAAATTACCTCGTAATCATTAACAACACCATCGTTTTAGAGCCTTGTCGGGCCACCGGTATAATTGTATAACTGTGCAGTGTATTAATCCCCTAGAGCAAATATGGTTGGTCTAGACAGTCGATGAGACATGTCATTGTTATCGTACTACCATACCAGTCTACCGTGGGGCTATGTAAGCTATTTATGGCCCATTTTTCTGAATAGGAAAAAACGCATATTATTATATGTTTTTATACAACCAAGTTAGGATAGCCCAAAATAGAGCTTTGAGGGAGTGAATGTGGTTTTAGGCCGCTTTTAGCAATATTCCACAAATATCACGTCGGGGGACGCCTGAATTGGGACTCACACATTGCACCCATGTTGGGAATCGAACCGGGTCCTCGACGTGACGAGAAAACGCTTTAACCACAAGGCTGCCCCACCGCCCCCTAACACCATGCAATTGGTATTAACTGTTCCTGTGTTTTGTTTGTTGTTTAACGCTGCACTCAGCAATATTCCAGCTGATTGACATCATAAGCATCGATCCACGCAATTGGGATACGATGACATGCATCAACCAAGTAAGCGAATCTGACCACCCGATCCCGTTAGTCGCCTCATACGACAAGCATGATCGGCTTTTACGGCAAGCATAGGCTGCTGAAGACCTATTCTACCCCGGATCTTCACGGGTCAACGGTTTCTGTCGAATATGTTACTCATATAATGTATGTCATGTATTGGCGATATCTGACTAATCCTGTAAAATTTGATGGTTTTCAGGCTACGCGAGGCCTGTACGTTGACTGCCAAGCAATGACACAGATGTGGTAACGAGGCATGCACTGACATTTCAGTTTTCCATAATAGAATCCCCGACAAGAAAACCTCGCGATTAGCAGGGCGTATATATTGAGATAGTGGACCGACTCCCCTGTAACTTCCCATGCCACATCCCACAACTCCATCATAGGAACCGATCAAACATCATGAAGATTTGGGTTTGAACTGGTCTCCAGCAACCAATATTTGTCGTAAGAGGCGACTAACGGGATCGGGTGGTCAGGCTCGTAGACTTGATACATGTTATAGTAAAAATCCCAATTGCGTAGATCAATGCTCATGATGTCACACACTGGATTGTCTGGTCCAGACTCGATTATTTTATTATTTATTCGACTGCTGTTATATAGTTGGAATGTTGCAGCATTAAATAAAAATATTTTTTTAAAAACCCCGATCAAGATAAATCGGTTATAACTGCACAGCTGTTTTGCCCAATACTAAAACCTCCATGCACTGTTTACATGCTGAAACTCATCAGAAAATGGAATTTTAGCTTTATTGCCATCGGAATTTTGATGACAGAACCCTTTTGCCGGTCTGACAATTGAGGCGGGCTAACATATTACGTGATGAAGACACTTGAAACGGTCACATGTGAACATAACCTCTCTCTCTCTCTCTCTCTCTCTCTCTCTCTCTCTCTCTCTCTCTCTCTCTCTCTCTCTCTCACACACACACACAGAACCGTTATGCGGAAGTTTCAAGGGTTAGTCCCAGTTGACAAGTATGTTTACCTGGTGGGTACGACCCGTGAAGATCCGGGGTAGAATAGGTCTTGAGCAACCGATTCTTGCCGTAAAAGCGGACTATGCTTGTCGCGACTAACGAGACCGGGTGGTCAGACTGGCTAACTTGGTTTATGCATGTCATAGTATCCCAAATGCGTGGATCGATGCTCATGATATCAATCATTGGATTGTCTTGTCCAGATTCGATTATTTACAGACCGCCATCATATTGCTGGAATATTGCTGAGTGGGGCGTTAAACAACAAGCAAACAAACAAACACCTAGTGGGTACCCGTGCCACACTATATACACAATGCAAATA